GGAGAGGTCCCTAACAGCAGACTTTCCCATGGCAATGAGCCTTTTAATTTCCTGGCTGCTGGTGCCAAGACTGTTTCGGCAGATAGGTTTCCAATTTTGCCAACACCATTTGTTTAAAAAGCTGTCATTTCCCCACTTAACTGATTTCATCTTCTTGTCAAAAATCAGTTGACACAGTAATTTCTAGGTTCCCAATAGTATCCCATTGATCTATGTGTCTGTCATTGTACTGGTACCATGCTGTCTTGACCAGCATGGCAGTGTAGTAAGATTTGAAATAAGGGAGTGAGATGCCTTGTACGTTGTTTCTCTTTTTAAGGTGTGTTATGTGTATTTGAGGCCTCTTTCTAATACAAATAAAATAGGACAATGCCTTTTCCATTTCATTGAAGAATGGAATTGGTATTTGTATTGGGATTACACTGAACGTGTAGACTGTCTTTGGTAGTACTGCCATTTTCACAATATTGAGTCTTCTTATCCATGAGCAAGGGATATTCTTCTATTTTTCCAAGTCTCTTTTTGTTTCTTGTAGTAATGTTTTATTAATTTTTTTAATAGATCCTTTGTGCTTCTGGTTAGATTTACTTCCAAGTAGTTAATCTTGTGATTAGCTATTGTGAGGGATATTGTTTTTCTTAGCTCCAGTTCTGTATTGTCTTTGTTAATGTAGAGAAATCTAATTGACTTTTGTATGATGATCTTGTATCTTGCCACTTGGCTGAACTGGTCAACTATGTCCAGCAGTTTTCTTGCTGAGTTTTAAGGGTTTTCTAAGTATACTCTCAAATCATCTGCATACAGAGATAATTTTACTTCCTCTTTGCAAATTTGGATACCTCTCATTTCCTTTCTTGTCTTATTGCTATCGTAAAGACTTCCAATTCAAGACGAATGAGAGAGGTGATAATGGGCATCCTTGCCTAGTTCCTGTTCTCAAAGGAAATGCCTTTAGTCTCTTTCCATTAAGAACAATGTTGGTTCTCAGGACTGCATATGCACATTTTACTATTTTGAAGAATTTCACCTCTAATCCTATTTTGTTGAGTGTTTTAATCAGGAAAAGGTGTCAAAGACTTTTTCTGCATCAA